TATATATATATATATGTATGTATATATAGTTAGATTTCAGCTACAGAAGCAGATTCACTAATGATTTTTTGTTTCTTATTATTGTTCTATCTACCTCAGCTGTACACATCTATGTAGTATGTAGTAGTAATGTAGTAGTTGATTATTTGTGTTAATATTAAGTTAGTTTTGTAACTTTATTGACTCAGGTTTTTTCTTCTTCTTTTAATATCTGTTTCTTGTTGTTCCAACCTTGTTAAAATAGAAAATGTTATAAATGCTATAATTTTTGGCAATTCTAACATTCTGTATTTTAATTATGAAATGTACTGTTTAAAACCTATAATTAGTTTTTGATTCTCAAATGTTACCTAAATAAAGTTACTGTTGTCTTGTTGTGTGTCTGATCCTGCAGGCTGGGGACACTCCACTTCATGTGGCAGCCTCCCTGAATCATAAGAAGACGGTACGTCTGCTGCTGGAAGCTGGAGCAGACACTCTTATCTGCAACAATGTGAGTACCTGCATACTTGTTCTGCACTGTTACATTCTAAAACTTAAAGTTTTTAGCTACCAACGAGCTTTTACTTGCACAGGAATTTAACCATTGCGCTCAACACATGTGGAGTTGTCGAAATAGCTTCAAATACTGAGTAGGAAAATGAACACACCCAGAGCAGTGGGCATTAGGAAGGAGAGGTTTCATAAAAAATATGAATAATTGGATTCAGCTGTCATGGTTTAGAACATATTTACAGTTTGATGCGCCTTTTTTGGTTTGGAGTGTGTGCACCGTTGGGTTGACCTGTCTCATTGTGGGTGTTGGAGAAAGTCTCTCTCACTAACTTTGTTTACCCAAAAGAACCACATTCAATGGCAGGAGAAGATTTTTAACCTGTATTTATATAAGGTCAAATTTCAGGACAGGTTAAATACATAACATATACATGAACATGCATAGATGTATACGCATGAAAACCAGTCACAGAAAAAAGCCACAAGCCGCTTTATCTGTTATCAATGAATCAAATCAGCTACTTAGACTACAAGCATGTCTTGAAGACATAAAAACCTGGATGACCCTTAATTTTCTCCTATTAAACACAGACAAGACTGAGGTTTTGTTTTTTGGACCTGAGCACCTTAGGAATAAATTTTTCAGTCTTTCTCCCTCCTTAGATGGCCTTAATCTGTCCTCCAGCTCTAATGTTAAAAATCTTGGTGTTATTTTTGATCAGGACATGTTTTTTATCCCCCACATTAAAAACGTTACAAGAACTGCCTTCTTCCACCTGCGTAATATCACTAAAATTAGAAACATCTTATCTAAAAATGATGCAGAAAAACTGATTCATGCATTTGTCACATCTAGACTGGACTATTGCACTGGTTTATTATCTGGATGTCCAAATACGTCTTTAAAACGTCTTCAGTTGATCCAAAATGCTGCTGCCAGAGTCTTAACCGGAGTTTGTAGGAGTGATCATATCTCTCCAGTTTTTGTTTCTCTCCACTGGCTCCCTGTCAAATCCAGAATTGAATTCAAGATCTTACTTCTAACCTACAAAGCTCTCAACAACCTAGCTCCATCTTATATTACAGATCTTATTGTTCCATATTTTCCTAACAGAGTACTTCGCTCTCAGACTGCAGGTTTACTTGTGGTTTCTAGAGTTTCTAAAAGCAGAATGGGAGGAAGATCTTTCAGTTATCAGACTCCTCTCTTGTGGAACCAACTTCAAGTTTCTGTCCATGAGACTTGACACATTGTCCAGTTTTAAGACTTTCCTTTTTGATAAATCCTATAACTAGAGTTGGCTTGTCATGCTATCTTAGACTACTGGAGGACAAGTTGACCTCATTTCCTTAAATGAATTGTTAAAATTGAATAGTTTTCATTTGATACTATTTCTATCTTAACATGTGATTCTTGACCTGCCATTGTGTATCTGTTCCTACCAAACCCAGCCGGTCGAAGCAGATGACCACTTGTCCTGAGTCTGGTTCTGCTAAAGGTTTCTTCCTCATGAGGGAGTTTTTCCTTTCCACTGTCGCCTTCATGGTTGCTCAAGATGAGACTTCTGCAATGGCGTTAAACTCAAAGCAGTCTGCTCTTCAGATAAATAATGTTAAATTATTATTTTTATATATGAATGCTTCTGTTCAGTGCCCTGATACGACTTCTGTTGTGACGGTGCTATATAAATAAATTGAACTGAACTGAATTGAAATTATTTGCTTGCTTTTATACTCCTCTCAGCTCAGCTGAGTTCTGAGTTCAGGAGGTGTCCTTGAAGCCAGCTGAAGTCTCCTTACCCAATGCTCTCCGTTTACACTAACATATGGTTCATGGGCAGAGATAAGATAGTGTCTGGGGAGATGGTTTCGACTTGGTTTCGACTTCTTGTTCTCAGGACAGAGGGGAGGAATGTTCTCAGCCGTAATAAAAACATTCATAATTTTTAACTAAAATTCCCTGACTGCGGGATGGATGGATGGATGGATGGATGGATGGATGGATGGATGGATGGATGGATGGATGGATGGATGGATGGATGGATGGATGGATGGATGGATGGATGGATGGATGGATAATGGAAGTATAATGCATGGCTGGATGAATGGATGTGTAATAGATGGATGGATGGATGGATGGATGGATGGATGGATGGATGGATGGATGAATGGATGTGTAATAGATGGATGGATGGATGGATGGATAATGGATGGATGGATGGATGGATAATGGAAGTATAATGGATGGCTGGATGAATGGATGTGTAATGATGGATGGATGGATAATGGATGGATGGATGGATGGATGGATGGATGGATGGATGGATGGATGGATGGATGGATGGATGGATGGATAATGGAAGTATAATGGATGGCTGGATGGATGGATATGTAATGGACGGATGGATGGATTGATAATGGAAGGATGGATGGCTGACCACAGTCATTTCAGTCTATTTTCATTACACAACTGTTGAGTGATGTGTTCAAAGGCTGTTGTCTTTGTTAGTTTTCCCATCTTCAGTAAAGTTTCTTTCCAGTTGCACTCTCCTGCTGCTATTGCTTTTCTATAAATGTCCATCTTCAGATGGAAATAAATACATTTTTATCTTTACTACATGCAGTTTTCTTTTCAGATAACCTCAGTCCAGTTAATCCAGACTAGTAGAGGTGTTTTGGATTTAATCTGATTTCGTTTGCAACTCCGTAATCCAGGAGATAGAAATGTGAAATGATTTTGTTTTTTGAAAAGCCATTTTCATGGCCAGGAATAAGTACTCTAGATGAAATGCTGCTTCAAACCCTGTTTAGAACCCCATGTGTTGGAGTGTTGCCTTTAACGCGTTTGTGTTTCTTCAGGCAGGTCAGACGGCTTTGGACCAGGCCAGAGATCACAACAATGCAGAGGTGGCTCTTCTTCTCACCAAAGCTCTCCAGGTACAAACAGTCACAGACATCATTTTATATCTACAGAGAAACACTGGTTTTCATTTACTGAAGTAAAATTACAACAATTATGGGTGGTTTACATTTTTGATTTAAGACCATGAATCAACATTTTGCCCTTCACACTCACAGATTTGATCTTCCTCCATTCAAACTATGTTTCTAGATAGGATTCATCTTTATTATCCCCCGTCACGGAGCCAAGAGGAGGACTTGGAAATACCCTCCGTTCATTCAGCAGTTTGTCTGTCTGTCAGTCCGTGCATGTTGTGAGCATAACCTGATAACACAATATATACCGTAAGTGTAAAGAGTACATCACATAAGGAGATGTGTTGCGTTGAGCAGATGGTGGTCACACCAGATACTGACTGGTTTTCTGACTCACACAGACCTCACCCCAATACAGTAAAACTGAACATTTCAGGGTGGCCTTGTATTGTGGTCAGCCTAAGGAACATCTGTGCAATAATCATATTGTCTAATCAGCATGTTGACATACCATACCTGTGATGTGGATGGATTATCTTGGCATAGGAGAAGTGCTCACTAACATAGATTTACACTAATCTGTGAACAATAGAGGGAAAAAGGCCATACAAAATGTACTGAAAAATGTGTAATGTAGGCCCTCGTTTATCACAGTGGTTACATTCCCCCCACATACACACACACACACACACACACATGCACACACACACAATAAGTGAAAGACCGCAAAATAGAATTGCTATATTTATTTTGTTTTTTATTTTTTATTTAACACTTAAGTTAAATTGACATAGATTTCTGAGTTGAAACAACAAACCTAAACAGTTCGTTCAACTATTAAATTTAAATTAACTAAACTAAAGCCAAACATTATTTAACAAGAGTTTATTAATCAAGATATCTTGATAATGCTTATGTAGTGAGTCACGTGAGGTACGTGTCACTTGTTGTATGACAAATATATGAATTATATATGCATACAATATTCACGAGTTCTTCATTTTTCTGACTGTGTAATGTCGTGCATTGAATTTAAAGGAATGCGAACGAGAGACGTTATTACCTTTGACCCATCAAATGAATGGAATCATTTATTTTCAAAATCAAAGTTTAACATCAAACATTTACATTAATTTGGCAAAATATGAAAATAATAACAGACAGTTTCACAGAAAATGAACTTCAAATCACTCGGCGGTGATTTGAGGACTTTGCTTCAGACATTTCTAAAAAATATCTGTACTGATTTATGAGAGAGAAGAGTTTAAGATTAAATTGAGATTTATCTTACAGAGGAAATATGTGAGGGAATTTAATCTGTTTGACCAGAAGTTGCACGCTCCGTCCGATCTCAGCTTCTCACGGTACACTTGGTCAAAATAGAACCATCTACCTGTTGATGATGAATCAGCCTTGGAGTAGTTCCTTTCTGACTCGTTTCAGCGTCTCCGTCGAGAGCTACCAAACCTTCAGAGAGTCGTGCGTGGTTAGCTCAAAACAGAATTATAATCCCCAAAAAACCTCTGGATTCTTCATTGCTCTGAAGCCTTCAGAACCGACTGCACTCTCAATCTTGGAACTCTCACGTTCTCCAGAACTCTCAATCTAACATGAACTGGGGAGTTGCCACATTTTATTTGGGTCGACTTCCTGTTCAATTTAGAGCTTTCTGATTCGTGGAAGGACCAGAAAGAGGAGTGGTTTTGACGTAAGGTGTTTATCAACAGTCGAGGTCAGAGAATGAAACTTGTTTAACATACAGAAAAGATTATTGCAGAAGCAGCAGACTTTTTGGAGTCTACTCTTGGTAATCTTCTGAAAAAGTTTAAACATGACATTTCTTCTTCAGTAAACATTTAGCTGACCGAAGCCTCAACTTTCACACACTTACGACTTGCTCATTTCAGACAGAAAATCAAGAAAGGCATATTCAGGTGATTTCTTCTCTGAATGAGGAACAAAAATCATTACTTACTGTTTATGTAAAATAAAAATGAGTAGTTCTTTTCAACCTGTAAAGCATTGAGTGAACTAACACAATTTGATTATCAAAACATTTGTAAGACAGTAATGATTATAAAGAATTGTCTTTTCTGCTTGATTAATTCAAGAAAGAAAGTCATCAGATGGTTCAGACTTATTCAGATCAGTGAAAATAACAGTCTCTGTCCATCTGGTAGATTTGAGGTCATCTGGTTCACTACACTTATTCACTCAACTGAATTTTTTAAGTTTAAAAAATACATTTAATATAGTATATAAACGTTTTAAAAATATTAGTTTGGACCCCCCAACATTTACCATGAGATATTAGTTCATCCGGCGCTGTTTCTATTTCTTGGTGAACAAATCCATTCTACTTGATTAACAGAATACTTACACCACTAAAAATCAACTCCGGGTTTTCCTAGTTACTTACATCAACTCACCACACCTCATGCAGTGTTTCCCTGAGGTAGAGCTGTCATTTCTAACCCGGGCCCGAATCTCGACCCGAATTCGGGGTGGGCTGGGCCTTGATAATGTGCAGGATGGATGGGCTGGGTCGGTATTGGGCTTTTGACTGCATCAGTGGATCAGCCGAGATCCAATTACTGTATATGGCGACATGGCTTACCATAAAATCGAATTACATGACAACATAGCTTGCCAAACCATCACCAGCCGTACGCGGCCATTGCACTGTGAACTGACCGGCCTTGAAAGAGGTAAAAGTTCAGTTAAGCTTCAGATGGGACTATACTGTCAGGCAGCAATCCCTCGCCCAAATGGACGTTCACTCAGCCGCTGCACTCAGCGGACGTGCGCGGATGACGACTTAAACAGGTGAGATTCCAAAGCAGACATGTCAGAGCAGGGTCTGTGTCTGAATAAATCAGAATGTTGGCAGAAACAGGGTTTTAATGATCTTTGATGTCCATGAAAGGACAAACACCCCCTCAGCTCCGATCTTCTGCCCCTTTTGTTCAGCCACATGTCACCGCGGTAAAGTTAGTTTTACATTGGACGTTGGACCTTCGAGCTCCGTGGCTTCAGCGGTGCGTTCCTCTCGATCCAATGCAGGAAGTCTGATTTCGGTCAGCCGAACTCGAACGAGTGGAACACACCACTGAAGCCACAAAGCTCGAATGTCTAATGTCCAATGTAAAACTAACTTTACTGTGGTCTGCATGCCCAACGATCGTTAATAACTATAAGCAGTCAAAGCTCAACTAAAAATGTTGGGGTTTTTTCTGGATTCGGATCTGTAATTACTGTTAATTCATCAGGTCAGGTTTGGAAATGATGGCTATGGGCTGGGGCTGGGTCGGATCAGATTTTTTGGGCCCGAATGCAACTCTACCCTTAGTAGCTTAGCGCCACGTTAGTGTGGGCAGTTGTTGACTGGGGTGGGGGGTTAAGATGTGTGAGAGAAGCAGAGTGCTACATCTGTAGCATCTTGGCTAGTGTTTCTGTGTAGTGTGCCACTAGCTTAGCGCTACATTAGTGCCGGTAGTTGTCCTCCGTTGGGGTGGGGGACATTGTGTTCTGCTGTCTAAAATAGTTATTGAATCAAGTGTTTACTTATGTAGGTAAATGTAGATATTTAACAACCCATTATAATATACCAGAATGCAGGAAATGGCATCTACTTTATTCAAAATTTTTGAGGGAGGGCCCCCAGACCCCCCTGCCAGTCTGTCCCCCAACATTACAAATGCTTCCGATGCCAATTGTCATTGCTGATGCCATTCCATCTTTGTGTTGTGTGCCCACACACCTGTATGCTCCAGAGCAAAAAAAAAATCTGTATGCCTTTTTATAATTGTCTATTGTTGTTGCTGTTGTCCATTGTTGTCGTCATTCTTTGTTGAAATCAGGTCTCTCTTGTAAATGAGTCCTCAAGGCTCAATGGGATTTACCTGTCTAAATAAAGGTTGAATGACTGAAAAGAGCAGCAAACTGATCAAACTCCTGTTTTTCTAGAGGTGGTCCTGATGATGATCAGTCGATCAGTACGTTTGATCAGCAGCTCCTGAATGACTCTGAACCTCTGACGTCCTGCAGAGGCAGACTTTCACACACAGCTTGAACACTTGGTTTTGTTTAGTTAAATATATCATGACGTGCTGGAATCTGTTGTGTTTTGTTCACCTAAAGTTAGATTTGAATCATTTTACAACCTGGTAATGTTCAGATAAGTTTATTATGTCTTGACTCGTAAACCTGACTTTGGACAGATGTTTTTTTTCTTGTGTGCAATAATGTCAGCACAGTGAGTCTAAATGAGCACAATTAGTGTAAAATACATGAAGCTGGCTGTTCATACGCAGATGGGATGAGCGGTGTGTAAATAAAACAACCTGTGTATCAATAAACTGGCTCATTGTTTTAAACTTGTGCTATCCGATGGTTGGAAGTTGTTTTTAAACCTTATTGTCTCGTGTTCATTTGCAGACATTTGTTCGTGGCAGGAATATGAGGAAGAGGAGAGAGAAGCTGAAAGCAGAGGGCAGAGCTCAGTCAGTGCCAAGAGAAGACGTCCTACTCTGTAAGGTAAGTTAATCTTCCAACAGAATTCGGTGTTCAGTGACTCAGAGAGCCGGACGGGACCATCCAAAAAATTATTTTGGTCCAGGACCGGCCGCTCCCATCACACCGGTCACTCTGAGCACACCCTGCCGACCAAGTGACCCCTCGAGCTGGGGAATCGTCGCACGAAGGTCCGGTGTTTTTTTTCTTTCTGGACCCCAACAAACTTCTCATGTGGACCTTGGTTCTGACAAGAATCGCTGGGTGGTATATTGCTGGCTTTCTGCTGGACTGGCCCCTCGTGGTGTTTCATTCGGTATGGGGGAAGTGTACCTGTGTCCCTGATTAGGACCAGAACCGGACCAAGTTGGCTGTGGGGGACTTCGTCTTCAATAGAGCTGGTTTCAGCCTCAGTGAGCAGCCCTTTACCTTTAAACGAAGGACTGTCCACCTCCATGGGAATCGCTGTGTTTTGCCTGGAGGAGATGCTCTAATGCTTTGAAGCGCCGCCGGAACCGGACCGGAGCAGAACCAGGCCAGGAACGACTTCAGCCACTTCAGCCTCTTCGGTCAGTCTCATCGTTCACTGGAGGTAGCCTCTCATGCTGTGGAGCTCCGGAGCCGGACTGGAGCAGAACCTGACCAGTGACAACTTCAGCCTCTCCGGTCAGTCTCGTCGTTTTTCGCTGGGGGTGGCCTCTCGTGCTGTGGGGTGCGGATGTGACGTGCAGAGAAGCGGAGTGAAGCGCAGAGGAGCAGCGCCATGTGGTGCTCGAGAGGAGTTCGGAGTTTACATCGGAGTTGCTGCAGGCTTCCATCCAAACTCACCTGGATAATAAATAATTTTTATTCCGGATCACGCTGTTGTCCCCTGTTGACCTGAAACGACCTAGGACCATGCCTTTCATTTCAGGAGGATTTTCTGACCGCTTGCTTTCTGGCAGCTCGCTCTGCTATGTGCTGCAAATTATCTGTTTCTGCCTGTTGATTCTGGACCCTGCTTCTGTTTCTCATGGGAGCATCCATCCATCTTGGCACGGGAGCTGGAGCCCCCCTCAGCCTAACTCAAACTGCAGTTTGACCACCTCGTGAGATTTGTTTGCCCATTTGATTTGTGACGCTTTATGGTCTGAGACTTTTCTGTACCATTCATATTGTCATTATTTTCAGATCTCAGACTATCTGGAGTCACTGAATCTTGGAACTGCCCATCACTGCAACTTTCACTGTTTTTGGGTTCTGAATGATCGCATCTTCATTATTGTTTCTCATGGTTCAATTACGGGGGCTAATTATCACACTATTAACTCCTGTAATTACACATCAGTCACAAAAAACCCAAGAAAATGTCTAATAATAATGTTGTTATTGCTCTCAGGGATTCAGCCTAACCCTGGAACCCACCCCCCCCACCCCACCCCACGCGCACACACACACACACACACACACACACTAATTACATCACACCAAAGGACTATAAAAACATGTCAGGACTTCATTTTCTGCATGTAAATGCACGTAGCCTTCTGAGAAAGCTTGATGCCTTGAAAAGTCTGGTCATTTCTTCTGGGGCAGATGTAATCTTCATCTCTGAAACCTGGCTCAACAAATCTGTAGTGAATAACGACTTGGTAATCAATGGATTTAACATCTATCGCTGTGCTCGTCAAAAAAAAAAGGGGGGGGGGGTAGTCGCTATTTACATCAGAGATTCTTTGGCTTCTAGTCTTGCGTCTGCTAAAACAATCCCAAACCAGTTTGAGGCCTTAGCTGTAAACATCACTTTGAATGGAGGTCAAATCTTATCTGTAGTGGGTTGTTATCGTCCCCCCCTCAGCAACATCTGAGGCTCTGTCCTCCCTGATAGAATTCCTTGGAAATTTAAAATTCATAGAGATTTTTTTGGCAGGAGATTTCAACATTGACTAGGAAAAGTCGACCCCCCTCTGTGATAAATTCAAGGAATGTTGCCTGTCACTTAAGCCCCCAGTATACTGCCGCATACATCCATACGCAGAGGTACGCACGTACGTACGCAGAGGTACGTGCGTACCCCCCAGGGCATGTCCGTGCAAAGCTCAAGTTTTTACGACCGCATACGCGTACGCGGTGTTGCACAATAAACTGCCCAGCGACAGACTGTTTTGTATGTGACACCAATGTATTAAATTCCCCTTCTTCATCTCTGATCTGGCCTTTTCTTTTTTTTTTTTTTTTGCCAAGAGGTAAGTGATCTATTCCTCTTCCGTTGATGCCATGACTGAAATGGTGAGAAATGAAAGAATTTGTCACGAGCGAATTAAACTCAGGTCCAGCATGGCTGTGGGAGGGTCTGGAGATTTCCTGGTGGGCTGGTCTGATGTGTGGGTTGTAGAGCCAGTGCTCTCTGTTTTTTTTTATTTTTTAGATCTTTTTATTAACAACATATAAACACAGAACACCGCTGCGGTGGAGGCTGCCAGCACTCGCTTTCTTTTCTTTTTTCCGACCTGTCAATCAATCCAGTAGGCATGTCAGCAAATGACCAATCGACGACCTCAATTTGTCCCGAAGGTAAACGCCCCTTGTCTGTGAAGCTGCTCTGCAGCTGCTCGGGGTGTACGCTGGAGTATCATGTCTGAACCCTCTGCGTACAGTGCACACGTACGTACGCGTGAACGGACGTACGCGGCAGTATACTGGATCCTTTAATTTAACCCAACTCATTGACTCTCCCACTAGACCAAACAAAACTGTCCTGAAAAAATCTTCCATCTTAGATCTGTTTCTAACAAATATGCCTCACAAATTCCCTGGTACAGGTGTATTCACTGACATTTTGAGTGATCATTGTGTAATAGCGGCTCTCAGAGATATTAAACTTCCACTTTCTAAGCCTATATTATTTCAAAAAAAGGATTTGAAACGTTTTTGTGAACAGTCATTCCTCTGGGATCTATCTCACTTTGACTGGCGTAGTATTCTATTAACTGACAATGTGAACACTGCTTGGAACTATTTTCATAATAGTTTCATTTATTTTGTGAACAAACATGCTCCTTTTCGTCAGTTCAGAAGGCGCGACAGTCTCTGGTTTACTCCTGAGCTAACTGACCTCCTACATAGGAGAGATCATCTTTGGGCCGCAGCGAGAAAATCTGGCTCAGACACAGATTGGTTGAGTTTTTGGCAGATGAGGAATAAATGCACAACTGACATCAAAGCATTAAAACGTAACTATTTCTTATCTCAGACCTCCAAAAATCTAAATCACCCTAACAGATTCTGGAAAACCATCAAATCTCTTTCAGGAAGCTCTCAATCATCTGACCTCCCATCACAACTTCTCGTTAACTCTGTTCCTGTGTCAAATAAGCACGAGATCCTGAACTGTTTCAACAAACATTTTGTCGCTTCTAGTTCATTATTTGACACCGTTACTAATGGAAAATCAGCCACTTCACTTAATAACCAAACATCTACAAATCCCTCCTACAAGTCAATCCTCAGTTAATCACACCTTCTCTGTTTCTCCATTCTCAGTCAGTGAGGTTAATAAACTGTTAAAAGGTCTTGATCCTAAAAAATCTGCAGGACCAGATGAACTTCCACCTTATTTCTTAAGGCTGGCCGCACATATCATTGCAGTCCCTGTGACCCACATCTTTATTCTTTCCATAAGCCAAAACTCCATTCCAGATGCTTGGAAAACAGCCTTTGTTCTTCATTGCTGAAGGGAGGTGACCCAACCTCACTGAACAACTATCAACCAATCTCTAAACTCTGCATTTTAGCCAAGGTTCTAGAAAAACTGATAAACTCTCAAATCAAAAATTACCTGGACTCATTTAACATCTTATCTCCCCATCAATCTGGTTTCAGGAAACAGCACAGCACATTGACTGCTTCACTGAAAGTTTTTAATGACGTTGTTGAAGCACTGGATGCTAAGGATTATTGTGCTGCACTTTTCTTAGACCTGTCTAAAGCTTTGGACACTGTGGATCATAACATCTTGTGTCATAAGCTCTCAGAAATTGGTTTCTCAGATCACACCATTGGTTGGTTCTCTAACTATTTCTCAAATAGGAGGCAATGCGATCAACATAATGGTGCTTCTTCCAGTTATTTAAGTGAACAATGGTGTACCACAAGGCTCAGTCTTAGGACCCACCCTCTTTACAATCTACATACGTAATGTAGGTCAGAGCATCCTTGACGCATCCTTACATTTATATGCTGATGACACAGTTGTTTATTGTCGAGCTAAAACAGTTGCTAATGTTTTCCAGCTTTTGCAATCCACATTTGGCATCATCCATTCAAATTTGTTTCACCTCAAACTTGTCTTAAATGCCGATAAAACCAAAGGGATGCTTTTTTCAAACAGGAAGTCGGTTCCAGCAGTTCTTCCTCCGATTTTATCCTCCTTTTATCCTGGTGTCCCGATTGAGTTTGTTGATTCCTATAAATATTTGGGTGTCTTGGTTGACTCGCATCTCTCTTATAATTTCCACGTGGAAAACCTAGTAAAGAAACTGAAAGTTAAACTGGGTTTCTTTTTCATAAACAGATCCTGTCTAACCCTGAATGCTAGAAAACGCCTTGTAACTGTGACTTTCCTTCCCTCCATTGATTATGGTGACATTATTTACATGAATGCTCCTACAAGCACCCTGTGACATTATTTACATGAATGCTCCTACAAGCACCCTGCAGATGTTGGATGCTGTCTGTCATGGTGCACTAAGATTCATAACTGGCTGTGATTATCGTACCCACCACTGCACCCTGTATTCACTGGTTAACTGGACATCATTAACTTCACACAGACTTTCCCACTGGTATATTTTCATCTTTAAATCACTTCTTGGTCTGTTTCCTTCATACATCTCCTCCTACATGTCTCTGCGTGAGTGCAGCTACAGCGTGCGCTTTCAGGACATTATTACCTGCATTGTGTCCCCTCAGTGCGGACTGAACTTGGCAAAAGGGTCTTCTCCTACTCCGCTCCTGTTTCCTGGAATATCTTGCAAAAAGATCTGAAGCTCTCGACCTTGACCTTTCTTAAGTGGCTTTAAGAATCTGTTGGACTCCTGGCAAGGACTAATGCAGACATGTTCCTGTTTTTAGTTTTCTACATTCACCTTATAAGCTAGCTGTTTCTGCTACTTTTTTGCCATCATTTTAATTTGTAAAAAAAAAATAATCATAAATGCCTTTTTATAATTGTCTGTTGTTGTCGCTGTTGTCCATTGTTGTCGTCATTCTTTGTTGAAATCAGGTCTCGCTTGTAAATGAGTCCTCAAGGCTCAATGGGATTAACCTGTCTAAATAAAAGTTGAATTGAAATGAATCTGTGCCATGTGCAGTAAAGCTACCTCGAAACCTATCAACAACAAGTGAGAATGCACAAAACGATCAGTGAGTGGAAAACACGTAGCTCCAGATGTTTTCCCTTCTGATCCCACCCCCAGCTGAACTGTCTTTGGTTATTGAGGCTCCCAACTTGGGTTGTAACCAGATCTGTGTGATGGTCTCAGATTTGTGCGAGCAGTTTTTCTACGATGAAAAAAAACAGACAAAGGAGTTTCACTCTAATTTCCTTGTCAGGCCTGAGAGTTCCCATGACTTCGACTCTCCTGGAGTTGAACAGAGAATGCAAGTAAACCTTAATGTTTTACAGTAAAGTTTACTTGATGTAAAGCGTGTCAGAGCATCACAGCTGCAGAGTGTCTGAATTTATTTAATTCATAATAACTTCTGTGTTTTTTTAATTCAAACGTTTTGAAGTCTTGTTTTAAAAAAGCTCAGTATCAAATTTGTTCAAGGCCAGAAGATTTTATTTCATATTATTTTATACATGGCAGGAGTGGTGTCGCAGAGGTTAGAGAAGGTGGGCATGTGATTGGAAGATCACCGGTTCAACTCCCCAAACCAACAACATCAAGATGTGAATGGGATTGGTGAAACACCCTCATCTGCCCCACTCTGGGCCCTTGAGCAAGGCCCTAACCCCCACCATCTGCTCCCCTGGGCTCCATAGATAACAGCTCTCTGCTCCACACAGAGGACTGTGGTAACTCAGTGGCCTGTGGTTGTGTCAGGAAGGACATCCGGCGTAAAAATAATCAAGTCTTTGTGTGAGTTAATTCACTGTAGAGACCCCTGAAGAAGAGATCAACCGAAAGAAGAAAAACAAATAAATAAATAAAAAAACTCTATAAATGTTTTGAAATAAGAAATCTGCAAATTTGTGCATGTTGGGGTGGGGGAGAGTGTTGTGTGCATGTGCCTGTGTAACTGTTACTTTGTAAGGCTCATTTCTTTCAACAATTGTGAGGACCAACTTCTTCTAGAATTGAGCTGCTTGAGGTGGGTGCATGTTGGAGTAGCTCTGTTACTTTCATTCTGAGATTTTGCTTTTGTAAACTTCAATTCTTCTTTTTCTGGACATAACATTTTTTGGATAATTGTTGCCTCTGGTATCAGATGCTATGCAGCTGGAAGGATTTTTACTGAAACTTTTTTTTACTTTTAGATATTTGTTGTGAAGCGTAACCATGACAACAAGCTGTTTTTTTTTACAACTGGGAACAGCTGATTAACATCTCAAAAGTTTAAAAAATATCTCAGCTACAGCCCCAAATGTCAAATGAGTTGAAAAAGGAGGTGCCATAGACTCATTCCCGTCTCCCTGCCAGCTGTGCACGAGTGCCTGACCAATGAGATCCTGCAACTGGCAGGAAACACGGCTCATGACAGCAGAAGGACCGGCATCATCCCATGACACCTGCAGCTGGCTGTACACAGCAACTAGGAGTTTGGCAGGCTGCTGGGAGGAGTGACCATCGTTCTGGTAGGAGTTCTTCCTGGGATTAAGGTGGTCCTGCAGCCCGGGTGAACCAAGAGGCCAGCCGAGTCTGGGTGGACATATCGGATGGCATCTGCAGCAATTTTTTTCGGATCCACTGTGGGGCGGACCTGTACAAGAGATCCTTCCTGCCTACAGCCATCAGTATCTAACATCTCTTAATGAAGCAAAGATAAAAAGCTACAACAACATTTAATTTCCCTTTGGGATTAATAAAGTATTTTTGAACTGAATTGAAGTTTCTTGAAAGTTTCTTGTTACTTGAAAATTATTATGATTGAAATAATTGTTTGAAAAAGGGGCAGATATAATAAGATTTTTTCTTCTTTCTGCTGCCTTTCATTTTAAATCTTTTGTATCTTTTTTTTATATTGTTATGGAATTGTTTTGTACTTTTTTAAAATGAATAAACTTTATACCATACCATACCATACCAAGTTTCTCTATTCTCCATTTCTTCCGCACGGCTTCGAGGCGATTCTGGTCTACCATCCGGCATCTCGGTGGGGGGGGGGGGGGGTTGGGGGAGCGGTACGCCACCAACACTGTTTATAGTGGGAGTGGTGTGCTGCTGACCTCAACTCGGGATGTTGTGGGTCGGTGGGCGGAATACTTTGAAGACCTCCTCAATCCCACGGCACGTCTTTCACTGAGGAGGCGGAGCCTGGGGACTCTGGGTCGGGCCCTCCAATCTCTGGTGCTGAGGTCACCGAGGTGGTTAAAAAGCTCCTCGGTGGCAGGGCCCCAGGGGTGGATGAGATTCGCCCGGAGTTCGTTAAGGCTCTGGATGTTGTAGGGTTGTGTTGGCTTATGGGACTCTGCAATATTGCGTGGACATCGGGGGAAGTTCCCCTGGATTGGCAGACCGGGGTGGTGGTCCCCCTATTCAAAAAGGGGGACCGTAGAGTGTGTTCCAACTACAGGGGAATCACGCTCTTAAGCCTCCCTGGTAAGGTCTATTCGGGGGTTCTGGAGAGGAGGGTTCGTCGGATAGTCGAACCTCGGATTCAGGAGGAGCAGTGCGGTTTTTGTCCTGGCCGTGGAACACTGGACCAGCTCTACACTCTCAGCAGGGTCCTGGAGGGTGCGTGGGAGTTTGCCCAACCGGTCTACATGTGCTTTGTGGACTTGGAGAAGGCATTCGACCACGTCCCTCGGGGAACCCTGTGGGGGGTACTCTGGGAGTATGGGGTACCGGGCCCTTTGATACGGGCTGTTAGGTCCCTGTATGACCGGTGTCAGAGCTTGGTCCGCATCGCCGGCAGTAAGTCGGGCTTGTTCCTGGTGAGAGTTGGACTCCGCCAAGGTTGCCCTTTGTTTCTGTTCATAACTTTTATGGACAGAATTTCTAGGCGCAGCCAAGGTGTTGAGGGGATCCGTTTTGGTGGCCTTAGGATTGCGTCTCTGCTTTTTGCAGATGATGTGGTCTTATTGGCTTCATCAGATCATGATCTACAGCTTTCGCTGGAGCGGTTCGCAGCCAAATGCAACGCGGCCGGGATGAAGATCAGTTCCTCCAAATCCGAGGCCATGGTCTTGAGCCAGAAAAGGGTAGAGTGCCCTCTCCGGGTCAGGGAGGAGGTCCTACCCCAAGTGGAGGAGTTCAAGTATCTTGGGGTCTTGCTCACGAATGAGGGAAAAATGGAGCGTGAGATCGATAGGCGGATAGGTGCAGCGTCTGCAGTGAAGCGGGCGCTGTACAGGTCTGTCGTGGTGAAGAGAGAGCTGAGTCAAAAGGCGAAGCTCTCAATTTACCGATCGATCTACGTTCCTACTCTCATCTATGGTCACGAGCTTTGGGTTGTGACCAAAAGAATGAGATCTCGGATACAAGCGGCCAAAATGAGTTTTCTCCGCAGGCTGTCTGGGCTCTCCCTTAGAGAGAGGGTGAGAAGCTCGGTCATCCGGGAGGGACTCCGAGTAGAGCCGCTGCTTCTCCACGTCGAGAGGAGCCAGTTGAGGTGGCTTGGGCATCTGTTTAGGATGCCTTCTCGACGCCTCCCTGGTGAGGTGTTCTGGACACGTCCCACCGGAAGGAGGCCCAGAGGAAGACCCAGGACACGCTGGAGGGACTATATTTCTCGGCTGGCCTGGGAATGCCTCGGGATTCCCCCGGAAGAGCTGGCCCAAGTGGCTGGGGAGAGGGAAGTCTGGGCCTCCCTACTTAGGCTGCTACCCCCGCGACCCGACCCCGGATAAGCGGAAGAAAATGGATGGATGGATGGATGGATGGATGGATGGATGGATGGATGGATGTAAGTAAGTAAGTAAGTAAGTAAGTAAGTAAGTAAGTAAGTAAGTTAAGTAAGTTAAGTTAAAGTAAGTTAAAGTAAGTTAAGTTAAAGTAAGTAAAGTAAAGTAAGTAAGTTAAAGTAAAGTAAGTAAAGTAAAGTAAGTTTTATGGGGCCCAAAGCCCGGGCCTCATAAGAAGAAGTGCCATTGGTGGGTTACGGGTTAGGTTTAGGACTAAGGTGTGAATTGAGGATGGGTTAGGGCAAGGGTCAGGTTTGACTATAAAAATGAATGAATAACGATTGGAAGTCAATGCAAAGTCCCTTTTAAAGATTGAAAGATGTGTGTGTGTGTGTGTGGGGGGGGGGGGGGGGGGCAGCTCATGGTTGGTCGGCACCAAAACTGCCTCCTGTATAATCCTGCAGTAGGTTTTGTTTGTTTGTTTGTTCTGAAACCTCACTAATTTACGTTTTCCTGTGGTTTTGCAGGACAGTGTGTCGGCTGCAGAGAACAGCCAAAGCAGCGACTCTGCTCAGTCTAACACCAGGAAGGTGAAGAACAGGCGGCAGAGAACAAAGGTAAACAGAAATCATTCAGTGTTTAGATCTCACCTCTTCATCTGAGAAACTCAGGAAGTGTAACTGAGTCCAGTTCATGTTGCTGTTGCAGCCCCCTTTGTCCAAACCTCGTCGTCGCAGGGAGACCAAGACAAGTAAAGTACGGGGGTCCTTCCCTTATTCAGCCATACCCCCTCACAACTATAAAGCTTATCAGCTCTACACGCTCTACAGAGGAGAAGACGGCAAGATCATGCAGGTAATTTCGCACAATGACCAGATGTCAGTCATGTTAACTCCTTGATCCAAAAAAGTTCAATCTGGTCCTCTGGACATTCAAAAAACAAGAAAAAAATAAAAAGTAAAAAAAATGTAGAAACGTTTCGTCTCTCATCTGAGAGACGTCTGAGGTGCTGTATTCAGCTCAGTCTCTTAAATAGCACCTTCTCAGAGTGGATCAACCAGTTTGCTGCTGACAACCAAAACCAGCTGCTCACATGGTCAAGAAGGACCATCAGCCTAACAATGGATCACTAGCACACTGATGGCTGTTTACTATTCGCAGGGGGTTGAGTGATACTAGCAATAACAGCATTGTAAGAGGGGGACAGTTGAACCCCTTGTCAACTCCTTGAGTTTTATAGTTTGTGCTCCACTCATGCTGTGTGTCAACAATTTGATCATTTTAGACCGGATTAATAAATATTCATTTCTTTCCATTTTATTGGTTACCACATGGACCAAGATGGGGACACACTGTTTTGGTGCCCTAATTTTATTTATTTACTTACTTGTGTGACTAACCTGTATAAATAAAGGTTGAATGAATATACAATCCCAATTCTGATGAAGTTGGGGCTTTGTGTAAAATTTAAATAAAAATAATGGAATGATTTGCAAACATCTTGTAAATAACAATAAGTATATTTAATTACAACAGATTTTAAAGTCTTTTATTTTGATCTTTCTGTAGCGATATTGTAGACTTCCGGTTTGACCTGCATGCTTTTATTTTGTATTTGCATTTCCTGTCTAGCGCAGTTGTGTAGCAAGTAGCTTGTTTTCCTCAAGTACGACAGTAAGTTTCACACTGAGTCACGGTAAACATTATTTTTGTACTAACAGGTAGGGGTTGAACGACTAGATAATTTTTAAACTCGACATTAACATAATAAAACTCGAGTAGAACTCGAGTACTTGATGACATCATAGGATCTAAAGATACAAAAATAAATAAATAAATAAAACTGCAAAAAAGGTCATTATTTACAAAAAAAGACCAAAAAACATTGGGAGCATATATTGTGCTCCTACCATTTATCATATTGCAAATAAGTCACAGGAAAAACTAAACTATTAGTTATTATTATTATTATCATTATTATTATTAAGCTGCAAACGTGAAGAAACGTGCAGCACGTCAAAAACGAAACTAAAACAGTGGGGGTCCCACCCCGCACCACCGCCAGCTGTGGTGCGCATTAAGTTTAGTTTTACAGGTTAATATGTTTATAGATTTTTTTTATAAGTTTAGAGATTAATATTTTTTGCTTTTTGTTTGTGAAACAAGGTCAGAAGGAAGCTGGTTCGGTAGATGGGACCCGGTGTTACACCATACTCTGTAACCTGCAACAGTGCAACACTGCCCCCTACTGTCACAAAATATGGTGTAACACCGGTTCGCAACGCGCTCCAGTCAAGAAGCTGTTTAATTTTCTGTTTCCTTACGGTAGTTGAACCAGAAGATTCATCTTTAGTGAAATATTTCCAGACTATTGATGCATTTCTACCTGTTTGTCAAGACTGGCCCTGCTCTGCTCCATCCGTCTGCTTGAAGGAATCCATTTTGTAACCCGCGCCGGTGCGGATCACGTGACACGTGACGCAATGACGTAACGGCAGCGTAATGACGTCACCACGAATACTCGACGTGAAATTAAAAACCTCGATAGGTGTCCTAGGAATCGATGTGTAGATTACTCGAGTAGTCTGTTAAAGCCCTACTAGCAGCTCCTCCGAAGACGCAAAAGTGTAATATTTATGAACATATGTCTGTTAATATGTTTATTTGGCATATTTTTAAGACGACATGTGAGGGAATAATATAAAATAATCAGTTGCATGTGACTTGTGTTCCAGCTTTTACACTGAGGTCAAGCCAGCCTTCACTTCGAAAATGACGGTTTTGTTATGCACGCAAACACTGTGAATGACGTAGTAACGTTGCAAGTTGCTTTCAAAATAAAAGCTGTGAATTAATGTGAATTAATTAATTTGTGCAGATATATGTAAAAAGTATATTTTTAATGTCCACCTGTGAGTATTGAGCCATAGCAATGTCACTTTTGTCACTGTTATGGGTTTTTACTTGTACTGTATGCTCACTCTAGTGAGAATGTCAGATTGTTTTCCCTGAAGCCTATATATATACTGTATATATATATATATATACAGGTCCTTCTCAAAAAATTAGCATATTGTGATAAAGGTCATTATTTTCCATAATGTAATGATAAAAATGAAACTTTCATATATTTCAGATTCATTGCACGCCAACTGAAATATTTCAGGTCTTTAATTGTTTTAATACTGATGATTATGGCATACAGCTCATTAAAACCCCAAATGCCTGTCCCAAAAAATTAGCATATAATGAAAAGGTTCTCTAAACAAGCTATTAACCTAACCATCTGAATCAACGACGTAACTCTAAACACCTGCAAAAGATTCCTGAGGCTTTTAAAAACTCCCAGCCTTGTTCATTACTCAAAACCGCAATCATGGGTAAGACTGCCGACCTGACTGCTGTCCAGAAGGCCATCATTGACACCCTCAAGCAAGAGGGTAAGACACAGAAAGAAATTGCTGAATGAATAGGCTGTTCCCAGAGTGCTGTATCAAGGCACCTCAGTGGGAAGTCTGTGGGAAGGGAAAAGTGTGGCAGAAAACGCTGCACAACGAGAAGAGGTGACCGGACCCTGAGGAGGATTGTGGAGAAGGGCTGATTCCAGACCTTGGGGGACCTGCGGAAGCAGTGGACCAAGTCTGGAGTAGAAACATCCAGAGCCACCGTGCACAGGCATGTGCAGGAAATGGGCTACAGGTGCCGCATTCCCCAGGTCAAGCCACTCTTGAACAAGAGACTGCGTCAGAAGCATCTCGCCTGGGACTGCTGCTGAGTGGTCCAAAGTTATGTTCTCTGATTACAGTAAATTTTGCATTTCCTTTGGAAATCAAGGTCCCAGAGTCTGGAGGAAGAGAGGAGACACAGAATTCACATTGCTTGAGGTCCAGTGTCAAGTTTCCACAGTCACTGGGGTGCCATGTCAGCTGCTGTTGTTGGTCCACTGTGTTATATCAAGCGCAGGGTCAATGCAGCTAGCTATCAGGAGATTTTGGAGCACTTCATGCTTCCATCTGCTGAAAAGCTTTATGGAGATGAAGATTTCATTTTTCAGCACGACCTGGCACCTGCTCACAGTGCCAAAACCACTGGTAAATGGTTTACTGACCATGGTATTACTGTGCTCAACTGGCCTGCCAACTCTCCTGACCTGAACCCCATAGAGAACCTGTGGGATATTGTGAAGAGAAAGTTGAGAGACGCAAGACCCAACACTCTGGATGAGCTTAAGGCCGCTATCGAAGCATCCTGGGCCTCCATAACACCTCAGCAGTGCCACAGGCTGATTGCCTCCATGCCACGCCGCATTGAAGCAGTCATTCATGCAAAAGGATTTCCGACCAAGTATTGAGTGCATAACTGAACATGATTATTTGAAGGTTG